CAGCAGCACCTCCCCGGTAGGGTTTGGGAAGTGTTTTCCTTGGAGAAACTTCCACTGAGCAGTGCTCCGCAGCGGCGTTCTTAAAAGCTTTTTTTCATATAGATATATATATGGAAAGAGAGGGTGATTGGCCACAGCGCTCTGTAAATTGTACATTTAAACAATGACATAGTTTTTCCACTTCATTTGGCAAATTCTGCTCCCGCAGCCCATCCCTCCATCAGTCTCCCTGTATTAGCGAACAGGTTCAAACGGCGATTGGAAGGGAGCTGATCTGTTCGGGAGGCAGCTTCTCGCCTCTCACAACAAAAACGACTGTGGCCAAGGGGTTTTAAACATTAACTTTCCAGACCGAGCTTATTTTCCTGGAGCTGAGGTGGGCTTTTTCCCCCCTCTTCTTAAATAACGAGGGTGGTCCCAGCATACTCTATATCGAGACAGCTTTTCATCAGTTGCTCATCAGCATGCTAATTGCTGTATGACTAATTATGCCCTGAATTCCAGTTGATTTTCTTAATGAGACAGCTGGGTTAATTATGTAATCGTATGATTACATTAGCCTAGAGTGCCCTGGCGAAAAGTAACGCAGGCAGGAGCGTGATGTCATTGCACGAGCAGCGCTCACAAGGGGGTGCATTCATTTCTGCCTAATGACAGGGGAGGGCAACAGTACCCACAGTGCTCTTTGTGTAAACACTTATATTGAATTATTAAGATCTGTGTCTTTTTCCAGCTCGCAGAATGAGGGAGGAATGGGGGTTTTTAAATGAAACTCACTTTAGAAATTCAGCTGGTCATTGATAGTCCTGGTTTATGTCCTGGGTTGAGGTTTGAGGTTGAGTTTGGTTTGAGCAGCATGAGGTTGCGGGTGGTGAGGCGCTGCCTCTAGCTTGTCACGTAATGCACAGTTTTGGTGAGATCCGTCTTTGCGTTTCTTATGAAATTGTTAAATACGTAGTTTACATGCATAAGCAGCAGCAGCGAAAAAATTGGTTCTCTTGCGCTGCTATTCAAAAAAGATTTGTCACCAGGGCATGTATATGGTGCGAGAACAGTCTGAGAGGTGTTACTGCGGCTGCGTTGCACCAGCTTGTTTGATGTGAAGTATTAACTGCTATAAAAATTACATTACATTTGTAGCATTAGTCTTTTTCACATCTGCGTTCATTGAGACACGTCCATCCGCCTCCTTTGTGAGGATAGAAGCTCGCCTGCAAGGGGACGGGTGTGGTATGTCACTGCGGTGAGCATGGGGATGTGCTCAGAGAGCTGCTTGTGAAAGGGCACCGAAAGGCAATTCATTGGGAAGTAAAGCCAGGAACAGGCTTTGCAGATACTGGTTTTAAAATACAGCAGTCTTGTTTCTCCTATGGTAGCGTGGAGGAAGCCTTGTCAGGCATCAGATCCAGATGTGCTGGGCTGTGTACAAACACATGATGCACAGGGCTTCTTTGTGGGTGTGGGATGCAACAAGTGGATTAAGAAAGCAGAACAGAATAGGAAGCGATAATAAAAAAAAAAAACTAAATTTAGTATAAAAATAAACATCTCGATTTACTCTTGGGCAATAATGATCTTGCGAAACACTTTTTCAAGTTCTGGATGATCGGATTCCTTTTACCAATTTTCTCATTTCTTATTTGTCTTGTGCCTAGCAGGGATTCTGAACTTTTGCAAGCTAGAGAAGATTGAAAGCAAGAGAGTAATTTGTGATGAGTTTTCCACATTTAAGTGTGAAGAGAGATGATTTTTCTCTTTTACAGGCCACAGAAAGGGCATTTCCTTTTTTGCATCTCTCCATAAGCTAGTGCCACTTGATTTTTTTTTTTTGAAATGTGTATGCCTGTTGTTTGTGTAATGAATCGAAAGTTTTGGTCCATTGCTTGTTTAAAAATTCAGTGACCTCCTGTTAAATGACATGAAACATACTTTGTAAGCCTGGTTAATATAAAAGGTATGCTTTTTCATGCATACATATGTTGGGAAAAGGAGAGTATTTTTATTTATTTTTCAATCCACTCTGCTCAGGTAAGAAAAAAGTCATTCTGACCATAAGGTTTATACTTGTTTCAGATTAATTGGTGTTTATAAATACTTTAGAAATCATGGGTTTTTTTTTTTGAGATTAGAGAGCATGTTGGGGCTTGCCATGAGAAATTAAGTATTTGTCTCTCTGCCCAAAATGTCTTGGTCGTTTTATTGTCATGCAGTTGATTAGTTTTCTTTAATGCAGTTTATAAAAATTAAGTCTTAAGAGGTGCTTCAGCCATGGGGGGTTTTTTTATATGTCCTTAAGCAGTATTTAGTGGCTGCAGGCCATTAGTCCTTCAAATAGGGTGTAGTAAAGTTTGAAGTTTAATGCACAGAGACTGTTTTTACATTTTGTTTGTTCTGCCACTGTTTTGCTACTTGAACATTAACCTTTAATAGAGCTAAATTAAATATACATGTCCTGATGAATAATTATGAGATTGCAAGCATTTTCATTTTGTACATAAAGCTTCTTGGGGATTGCAAATTTGACTAAAGATTTAGTCATTATTCACTTTATAATGCCCATGTTATTTTTGTCTTTTAATTCTTTGCTGATTTAAATATAAAAAGCCCTATGTATTTAGAGCAAAATACCTCTTGTGGATGTCCTGGCTTTTTGCAATGGGCATTAAAATGAGGGGGGAAAGTGCACCCACAATTTTGTGAAGTTTGATGTCTTTCATTGTGGCATTTTACCACTATTTTGTAGAAATACCATCGCTGAAGCTTAAGATCCCTGCCTGATAATGTTTTGTGGTTCCTGTAACAATTTAAGACATGGATAGATTGATACAATCCAGCCTTTCTTTATGTTCAGCAGATGAATGTCCTGGGCTAGCTCTTTTGGAGGAATGCTGAGCTGCAGAAGTGTGACAAAACGGTCATTCCCGATAAAGGTCGGCAGACCTACATGGGAGAAGGGCGATGTTGTGACAGCCCGTGCCGTAATTGGACCATACATAAATATTGCAGGGCCTTTAACTCATGCTACTGCTGTGTCTTAAACTTGATATTTAATTCCTTACCTGTACCCCCTGTCTCTGCCACAATAACATTTTAAGTTTGATTTATTATAAATATTTTAGTACAGATAATAATAACGAAAAGTATTTGGCCTAAAAAGCATAAATGAAAAAGCTATGTAGTCATAAACTATGTATGTACAGAGAACAGATGACAAGCAACCTAGATTTTGTATTATGAACAGGGTAATGCCATAAGCTGTTGAAGAACCGAAGTAACAAAATGCAGCAGGCTGCTACTTATAATGTCTCTGAGCTCAACATAACCCAGTACTATTCTTTTATAAACTATGAAACAACGCTGGCATATTGAAAAAACACACAGGCTCATGCTTAATGTGTTAACAGAGGTACAATAGACTTATTATGTGTTTCCAGAGACTGAGGGTGGTCTGAAAAATTAATGACTGTGGTGGTTGAAAATTAAGTGAACTCCCTAATATATACTGTTGTTGATCCACTGAGTTTGGTGTTTAGCATTCCTCAACGGGAGACTAAATCTTTGCAGCCATTTCACAAGAGATGCTGGCGCCCATAACAGAAATATAGTCAATAATCTTTTATAAGTCCATCAGCCTCCAGCGTTTTCCTATTCTGACTGGGAAGAAGTCCCGGAATAAATCACATGTGCACATGTCAGGTGTGTGCTAAGGACTCTCTGTAGCAGAAGGGGGCAAACATCAGAGCATTAATACTGAAAGGACATTCAAAATAATTTCTAATTTCTATTCCATTAGTAGTATAAGAGAGGGAACAGGAGTCACAAAACCCAAGGTTCATAGAATTAATTACATCCACACTGTATTTCTGATTATTATTGATCTGTCAGAAAAAATATAGCTCAGATCTCCATGATCAACTAACCTTTTTGAGCTTGACTGGGCAGGAGGGCACAATACACTTCAGAAATTCACTCCCACAGAAGTAGAGGTATGTGAGGGACACTAGCTGTCAGTAAGCCATGCAGTTTGGTTGCGTTTTACCCCAAAATTCTCATTTTGCAGACAAAACTTTGAAACTTAAGACTCTCACATGCCTTTCTATCATGATTGTCTGCACCCAGGGCCACTGCCCTATGGATTAATGCTAGGATGAGTAAGGCATACCCCGATCTCATAGAATCGCATAATGGTTTGGTTGGAAGGGATCTTAAAGACCATCCAGTTCCAAGCCCCCCGCCATGGGCAGGGACACCTCCCACCAGACCAGGTTGCTCAAAGCCCCATCCAACCTGGCCTTGAACACTTCCAGGGATGGGGCAACCACAGCTTCTCTGGGCAACCTCTGCCACTGCCTCACCACCCTCACCGGGAAGAATTTCTTCCCAATATCTCATCTAAATCTTCCCTCTTCCAGTTTAAAGCCATTGCCCCTTGTCCTGTCACTACAGGCCCTTGTAAAAAGTCCCTCCCCAGCTTTCTTGTCGGCCCCTTTAGGTACTGGAAGACTGCTCTAAGGTCTCCCCAGAGCCTTCTCTCCTCCAGGCTGAGCAACCCCAACTCTCTCAGCCTGCCTTCGTAACATAGGTACAATGAACTCTCTCTGTTTTTTGACGTTTACAGGATATGAGGTGAGGAACGTACAAGACTAATAACTTGAAGTAGGGCCTTACTGGCACTTAAAATGGATATTAATAGAGAAAAAATGACACTTGTGCTCTGAACTGCTTGAGTCGCAGAAATGTTCTTGGTATCTTACGTTTTATTTTACTGTTTCTTTTTCAGATCCAGTTCCAGCCTTGGATTTAGGACAGCAGCTTCAGCTGAAGGTTCAACGTATGCACGATATTGAAACAGAGAACCAGAAACTTAGGGAAACTCTAGAGGAATACAATAAAGAATTCGCCGAGGTGAAAAATCAAGGTAGGTTGCAGACGTATTCTTTTATCAGCTTTTAATGCATACTGAAATTTCAAGACAGGAATTAAATTCAGTTTTATTTCTTATAGATAGGGTTGATAATAGCATTTGAATTCAGTAAAGAAAGTATAATAGTCTATTATAGCTACTTCCGTATTTATGTGTATAGGTACGACTGGGTAGGCTCTTTGGATTTCTTTAACAGTTTCGTCTTCTGTAGGACCCAAGTCAGAGAATGGAGCTGTTATTCTGCATATTTGGTTGTAGCCTTGAGCGCTACCTGAAAACTCCACTCCTGACTGAAGTTATATGCAAACATTTTATTAGATGGTGCTACTACTAACATCAAGCTGAATGTGGGTGTGGGTGCTTGTGGTACATGTATTTTACACAGACAAACACAAAAATCCAGTGTTTTATACACGCATACAAATCTGTACAAAATGGAACTTTTTCTGTACTCTGTTTTTCCTGATCTAAATCTGAAATGTGTTACTAGAGTACATTCGGCATACATACTTTATATTTACTCTAGAGACTATCCTGTTTTACACTAAAGCAGTGTAAATAGCTAATACTGTTTAATTATTTAAGTACATTTTAATGAGACCAGAGTACATGAAAATACATAAAAATCTCAATGAGATTTAAAGCCCGTTGTCTTTAAGACTGTTCAAGTTTTACTGTGATTCAGAAGAAAGGTTCCTGCACCAGGAAACAAAATTTTCTCAGTTGTACACCTACTTGCCTATGCAAGGGACTTCTCATTTCCACGTTCCATACTCAGTTCTGGGTGGTGGAAAGGTAAATTGTCTAGGCATTTGGGAAAATGGAGATTTTTTTATTTTTAATATTATGGAACTGTTGCACCCAAGCGGGTAGCATTTGAAAGCTACATTAGCAACTAAGTTAGTGCTGTTACATCTCATTTTTAGCAGAAGGAGCCTATATGCAGTTACATAATTTTGTTTTAACTTAGAGGGTGTGACCTATGGAGAGGACAGTTATCAGCATGCAAGGATTCAGGCTGGGCTGCAAAAGATGTCATGTGGGAGCTGTAAGGCTCTAAGCCCAATACCATTTCTGCTGGAAATGTACAATAATCGCAGTTCACTGTGCAGAGTTTTCCTGAGGCTGTGCATCCTGTACATCCAGGCATGACATAGGGGTTCATCTGAGAAAGTGGAAAAGATCTTGACTTCCAGAGTTTTTTGCTGCAACCACTCATAAACTGACATTTTTTATTTTCCCTGTTGCGCACAAACTTCCTTTCTGTTTTGCCACTATACTGTTTGCATTGTTTCTCACTCCAGTGCAATGGTTTTACACTCTATTTCAAACAGGGATTACTAAGATATCCAGGGAAAAGCCTGTTGTTAGCTAAGGGTGCTTTGATCAGTTAATCTCTTTGTTTGGAGAGCTGTGTATGAGCTATACAGTGCCTGTAAGAACTTCTTCCAAAACTGGTATAAATGGCAGTGGCTAACAAGCTTTAGCTGACCTGAACAGTAAAGAAGGCACTTAGTTCTTCAGGCAATGTAGAGGATTAAACTGTGCTTGTCCAACACATCTGTTATTAGGTCCCTAAAGGTAAAAACAGATTTTGTTACAAAAGTCATATTTTTTTTCCCATATTTGTGCACTTCTTGCATTCATTTTTGTGGTTTTGTTTCCTTTTAAAATGAAACATTCAGACTTTGTCAGGATGAAACTATACGCATTTCCCTGAGATTATTTCACTCTCTGCTTCTCCACATACCTGAATACTTTGGCAGATTTATGTCTGAAAATACATGGAGAAAGGTGTCTCCAGTACAAAGAGTACGTCCTTTGTACACATGAAGGAGCATCCTGTTGTCTGTGTGAAGGTGCATCCTTTGCTTATTCAGGAAAAGATCAGAATCTGTATTACTTCCTGGGTCTCAGAGAATAATTTCCCTTTGCTTTAAAAAAAAAAAAAAAAAGTCCTTTTCATGGCCTATTACTCAGTAATGAGCCTCATCTGATTTTTGCTTGGCTAGCAAAATCCCGCTCCTTCATTCAAAAGTAGCTGGCTTGCTGGCAATGCGCTTTTACTACTCTTCCCCCCCCTTTTTGGTGGTCACAGGGGCCAAAACTGCCTTCAGTGTAACTCCCAGACAGCGGACCTTCTGACCAGCTCTCTGCTTTCTGACTTTGTTCTGAGAACTCTGACTGAGTTCTCTAGTCAAGTCTAGAAGTCTAGGCTTTGAAAGGATTATGCATGGTTTTATGTGATACTTTTGAGATTATTTTTTTTTTCTCAAGTCCATAGGCATTACTTTTCATAGTGGAGTTTGTCTTTCTCTGATGTTTCTACAGAATGAGAAACTTTTATGTCCAAAGGTGTTTTGTCCTAAAGTATTGTTAGTGGCATGTGTTAATAAGCTGATGTCTTTAAACCACTGCGTCTCTGTGTAAGTACATTGAAATGTATTGCTAGCCGTGAGTCTTCTGGCAGTCTAACGCTTTTTCCAAATTCCATTATTGTTACAAAGCGTACTCTGGTGAATGTCCTGTTTTTCCTCTTATGAGCCCTATAAGGATTCAGTCCTTTCCTGTGGGTGGGATCAAAGGGCTTTCACGTAGGAATGGATCAGGGCATGTAACAAGATGCTGTCCATCAGAGGCTGCGCTGTGACTCTGCAGATTTATGCATCTTATATCATCCATTACCAGGCACAGTAAATGCAAGATAGCTTCTTTATCTGAGAGAAGGGTTCCTGCAAATTCTCTAGAAGGCTACAAGTGCACTCAGAAAGTTATAGTAGTTAATGCTTGTGTGTAAAACCCAGTGTCGATAACAAGGCAGTTAGAGCAACTAGAATATGAAGGACTCCAGTGTTTGTTGAATCTGATCTACTGTTAATACAGCAGTTAAATTTTAACTGCCGTATTTTTCATCAGTTGTGAAGCAGAACATAGCTGTATCCCAGATATGTGTTCAATTAGTGTTAGATTGCATGTGTGCATGAACCATAGTAAAACCGCCTCTTTTTACGTGAGCGCAGTTATATGAATTAACTGTCCTATGTGTAAATGCATACTTAAACCTACACTGGGACTTTATTAATCTCCACTCAGCAGCGTGCTAATTTGAGACTAGTCAATAAGGTGATACTATATTTTACAATTGATTTTTTTTTCCTTTTTTTTTTTTTTTTAAAGTCATGTTAAAAGAACCTTCTTCGCTCTGCTTTCCAGCAAACTCCATTGATCCTTCTCAACCTAAACACTTAAAGTTCAATTTAACATTTAGGGAGTAAAAGGTCTCCAAAGGGACTCATATCCATTGATTTTGTGTCAGAGTTGAAGAGCTAAAGTTTAAAACACACTGAGCCTACAGGGTAAAGAAAGCCTTGTGTTGTGGAACCACGTGGAGCTGTGTAAACTCATTCTTCCCCTATTGTTTTTCTGTAGAGGTTACAATAAAAGCACTTAAAGAGAAAATCCGAGAATATGAACAGACCCTGAAGAACCAAGCGGAGAATATAGCCCTTGAAAAAGAACAAAAGTTACAAAATGATTTTGCAGAGAAGGAGAGGTGAGTGTGCACGTGTGCATCTGTAGGTATCGGAGAGGAGGAGAGATGTGTTTTGGGGTTTAATCTTCCCAGCCAGGACTCTCTCTTCAGTGTACTGAGACAGCTCATATATTGAGTGATTCTGGCGATTTATGTGTTTGACATGGGATCATTTGATACTCAACTTTGCACAGAAAAACAGTCGTGAAAGTGTGGAAGTAAAATAAGGACAGATTGTTCCTTCACGGTAGTGGGGTGTGTGGGGTGTCATGTTCAGAAGGGTGCAAACCTGCTTTTATTCTTCACTGGCTGTATTGACCTTTGTGACACTAATCTTTCTCCATTAGCCGACAGCATAATTTAGTCTGCTGTGTCCACTTTCTGTGTCACAGTACCATTGTACAATCTGTACAACCTTGAGATGTTTAAGATGAAACACTGCACTCAAGAACCTATGTAAAAGATGCATCACCCCTGCTGCTCTGGTAATGACTTAAGAGAGGGGATGTATTCCTGAATTATCCTGAAAAGGGTTGCATATTCCTACATGTCAAAATTAAGAAATATTTTAATTACTCATTATTGATTTTTGGAAGCATCTTGGATGCATTTCTGATCTTTTGCAAATGAGCAGGGCATGTTTGAATCTTGTAGGTTAATGGGCAGACAAATCAGGCAGGACAAGACCAAATGTCTTAAGAGGGAGTTCTTTCAGGCTGCATTCCCTGCCTTGAGGATTTTTCTCCCATGGAGCAGTAACACTGAGGCTATAATAAGTTCAACTTAATGTGGAAGCCCTTCAGTTTACATGAGCTTTTTAGTTGGTGGGTTGGTATTTAAATTCAGGTCTGAGTGGGAAGAATCTACTGGTGAATGCAAAGCTTTTTTTAATTCATTGGTATCTGTGGTTACTTTTTGATAAGTAGCATGTAAGCAGTGGCTTTAAAAAGTGCGATTTAGATAGGCTTAAAGGTAAAATAGCAGGTCATGGAATGTAAAAAAAGGTGTGCATAAGAGAAGTTTTGAGTTCTCAAAGTATATAATTTGGTATGAAGGGAACTGATGCATGTTTCTCGCTGTAAATAGTTATTAACCTGGTCAGCAGTGTTGGAGAATAAATTTAGGCACCCTATGGAGTACAAGTAGGATGCTCATAGTTTCATAAGCCATTTCACAATTCTGAAATCTGCAGAATATTTTAAAAGCAATGTCGTAAAAAAAGGCGACTCCTGGGAGATGTTGGAACAACTTCCTTTCAAAGATGAGTTTTTATAACTCCTGTAGTCTACCCTTTAGCAAAGAGTGTAGTGACTGTATGGCCAGATGATGTTAAAATGTGTATAAGTGACACAAGAAAATATTGCCTGTGGACATAAGAGATATGATCATATTCAAGGTTTGCTCATGTTAGATAGAAAATATCAATGTGAGATTTGTTTTGAAATATGTGTGTTTTTTTAAAGAGTAGCTAATAATATTACCGCATTTGGCATCCATTACAGCTATGATGAAACAGCTGCCGCATCTATTCACTGTATCAGTTATGGCAACAAATTTCTTCATTATGACAGTAAAATGGAAATGTATCATTCTTCTTGTACTAACTTTGTACAACAGAGGGTGCTTGGTGACAATTTTCTTAATGTGTGTGACATTTCCAAAACAAATTATGCTCAAGAAAACCTTCCACTAAAGTTGTCATTTATATAGCAGTCAACTCTTGTATAATGTTCACAGCTTATGTTATAAGGTGGCTACACTGTTAAAATTTTAATAAGTGGGACTGCAAAGTATGAACAGTATTGCAATGTGACATGATTTATGGGTCCCATTGAAGCACCTTGTAGTCTGTGTGGTGTTGTCAGTTGTCTGATTACAGTTAAGACATTTAATCACTCTATCTTCCAAATTTGCAAAATACAAATAAGTTGTTTAACATGATTACGAGCTCTGTTCTCACCTCCTCTCTTCGCTTTATAGAAAATTGCAGGAGACACAGATGTCAACAGCCTCAAAGCTGGAAGAAGCGGAACACAAAGTTCAAGCTTTGCAAACAGGTTTGGCATTGCTATTCTGACCTATACCAATGATCAGGCTGGAGGTGAGAGGATAGAGGTCATTAAATGTATCAGGTCTGCGTGTGAACCAGCTCTTACAAGTGCAGAGAGATCCAACAGAGCTTGAACGTGCTTTGTGGGTCGGAGCTGCTTTTGTGCTTCACACCTTAAGTGAACACTTGTGTTGCAGCCGGTCTATTGGTAAATACAGTGGACAAGGCCAAACATGAAGCACGTACAGCATTAGAGCATCACTGCAATTAGAGCAGGCCATGGAGCTTTTCATCCGTGTTGTGTTTTGGTCTGGTTTCACACATTTCTGAACTATGATAAACACATGTAGCAATCTGGGTTCAGTATGAACACAGTTTCTACCAGTGTGTCTTGCCTCTTGCTGTAAGGTGCTTGTCATTAATTTCCATCTCTTCATACCTACAGATTGCAGGTCTTGGACATACCTGGTTTTGTTTACTATGAGAACAGAAGAAATTTCCTTCTCTGAATTGCTGCAATAAATATTTCAAATGAATAAACACTTTAGCCAGCTTAATAAGAAATTGGTAATGTTTAGCTTTGTTAAGCAGAAACTGGGAATTTTTGCAATATAAAAGAAATAGCACAAGAAATTGTGGAAAATCAAAACCTATGTTTTTTCTGAGTCATAATGGTTTGCCTAGGTAGAAAGATAAAGCAAAGAATTTTTCATCAGGAGGTGTACAACTTTATTTATGGCTGAATAAAGAAAAAGGAGTAGTCTTTTTGTTTTTCACTGCTGTTACAGTGCTCTAATGCTTCATGTTTATGCCTTTTAGCCTTGGAAAAAACCAGAACAGAACTATTTGATCTGAAAACAAAATACGATGAAGAAACTACTGCAAAGTAAGATTTTACTGTTTTCTTTCTATGTCTTCCTTCAGGGTATCACTGCTTTTTTGTTTTGTATTTGTCTGTTGGAGACAGACAAGATGCAAGAGGTTCAGGAGTCAAAATTTGTTGGAAAACATGGTCATAATTTGGCCTCCTATAGAGAGATTATTAGTTTTCATATTTTCTTCCACCCAGCAAGACACTTTTCCTGGCACACATACTGCTGCATTCCTGGTTTCATTCTCAGGTGCTGCATCTGCTATGTATCTCTTATACTATGTATCTCCTATATTTTATTTAGAAATAGAGCAATTTCAGAAATAGGATATTTACTGTGATCTTCCAGTCTTGGCGAAAATAAAACTTAATTTAGTAAAGAATTTCTGATTCCCTGTTAGGCACCCTGGTTCTTTCTGCTTTTGGGATAACAGTCATCACTTTGTCAAATTTACCCCAACTTACAGAGAGTAGCGTTTTTGGCAGATTTTTCTTGTTTTCAAGTAGAAAATGAAGATAGTCTCAAAAATACATATCCTTGTCTTCTTGGTGGCTACTGTTTTCAATTATCCCCTGGTTTTATTAACAATCAGTGCAGGAAACAACAAAAGAGAGACAGACTTCTGCTGGTTTTCTTTGAACTCTTCATATTTAAGGAAAGTTAGTAATGAGAAGGAATTCTCATGATCAGCAGTGTTAAGCCCAACGAGTCATTTCTGTGTCTGGAAATGGGATGGGAAAGAAGCAGCCATTTCGGATGGATGTCCCTGGCCTGCTGTAAGTGCAAGGGTTAGAAGATGCATGTCACATCCCTGTGCCCACTACCTGCATCCCGCAGAGCCCCAGCTTCACCTCTGCTTCCAAGTAGGCAGATGATCGGGTGAACAGAGAGGAAAACCCTTGCTCCTGCCCTAACCACCCATGCCAGTACAGCAGAAATGGCAAGGGAAAGCTGTTGGCGGTCTCCATGTTGGGGCAAGAGAAACTGCAGCCTAGGCTTGCTAGGAGGAATGGCATGGTCTTGTTTTTGTAGGTGCCTGCTTTCTGATATGGCTCATGGCAGTCTAGATAACACAGGTTTTTCAAAACCAGTCAAATTGGCAAGAAGTTTTAATTTCTTAGCCTGTGGTTCTGCGAGTGTTGAGGATCCGATTCCCCACTGAGTACATGAGTACTTAGGAAATTCAGTCCATAGTAGTTAAGAATCGGTGCTTGGAGTTGAAACACGTTTTACATCGTTGAAGATAATCTTTTAGGTAAAGTTTAGTTTTGCTCTGTAAGTCCAGTTTCCTTTGAGTTCCATATAAGGTGATCAAAAGTATTTTTGTTCCCTCATTGATTTAATCCTTCTCTAAGAGACGCATACTAATGATGTTTTTACGGAGCCTTAAATTACTGCAGATTGCCTTTATTTTGTTTTCTGCATGTAGCTGGTGCTGGCAGCTCTGCTGTTATTTTGTCTTGCAGTCGGTTCTGGGGGAACAGTCAGAGATCAGGGCTCAGTGGTTGTAGGCACTGAACCTAATAACCCCTCACCCTTTTAAATGTTTTTATTTGCAGAGTGTTTGCTTCATTTTTCAATACTATTTCCCCAAGTACTGTAATTTATCTTATACTGAGCAAAAGATGTACTCTAAAATGCTTGTTTGTGTTTCTGATACGTTTCATTCTTTCAGAGAGATGCAGGCGGAAATATTTTCGTATGATCTTGAATATGATTCTTACCTAATATATGTAGAATTACCTAAAATTAGTAGCATCTGCAGTAACAAGAAGTTTATTGTCTTCTGTAGCAGAACAATTACGAAGGCTGGATCTAGAATAGTATGATCGTGGAGCTGAATCCTGAAGCAGACATTAAGCATGTACCTTATCTCCCAAACTAATGTACTGTGAAAACAACTTGTAGGACCTAATAACAGCAGAAATATTTTATCATTGTTTGGGATATTTATGGCAGGAATAGTTCTTGCATAACAACAGTCATCTGTGGCGTTTGTAGCCCAAATTTTGCAATATGGAAATCTTGAAAAACATGAAAAGGGAACTGAATGTAGACAGTGAAATTGAGTCATCTATTTTAATTGTAAAAGCTGGGAGAAATGTTGAAAAAAGCACCAATAAAAATGGTGAAAGACAGTTTGATTCTTTTCTAAAGAGAAACCCTCTTTTGATCTAAGTCTGAAAAGCTACTTGTATTGCCAGTTTTAATTTTGTGTTTTAAAAACATGTGATTTTTGTCTCAGGCCAGAATTGTTAGCTTTACAGATGCTTATTTGATGCAGATGAATTGGAGTGCCTTCAGGAAAAAAAAAGATAATTGTCAATTTTTTAAAGCTAACAGTGCTTTTAAGATTTTCAGTTTTGGAATAAAGCTGTCTGTCAACTGTAACTTTGAAAATCTTTCAAACAAAAAAAAAAAGAAGCAAAAGAAATACACAGTAAGAATTCTTCAGTATCAGCATTAAGGAATCTGCATTTTGTCCTAGCGACTGGTTGTTGCGCTCTTAAAGTTGGAAATCATTATGTCAACTTGTTTATCTTTTCAAAATGTCCCTGTTCAAAGTACTACATGAAAGGAGGTACGGAGATACCGTCAGAACTTGATGCTAGCAAGGCATCTTCAAATGAGATCAGTTGCTGAAATTAAAATCTTCAGTCAAATTAGCTTCTCTCATCCCAGTCTATAAAAATCCCCCGTTCCCTTTGCCAGCGAGCAGGTAATGTGTGTACAGTGGGAGTGGAGGTGCTGCCCGTGCCCCTTCCCCTGGCCCCTGCGTCCCGCTGATACCCCGCATGCAGGGCGCTGAAGGTGTTAATGACAGAAAGAAGTTTATTATGTGCAGTCATTGCAGTCTGTCAGCTGGAATATCAGAAGCTGAATTTGACAAGATGGCAGCAGCAAAGTTTTCCATGTGTAGGCTTGAAGTAAAATGTAATTAGCCTTTATGTGCAGAACAAGGATCCATTGATGAATACAGCTGGTCTTTGTTTTCTTCTGTCATTGAGTGTGGGAGGTAAAAGTGTTCTTCTTCATGTTTATTAATACAAGATTCCTTAGACAAATGGCAAGCACAGTTTAATATTTGTTGGAACACAGAGGGGCTTGCCAAAACAGTTGTTGTGTAAGAGGATTTCAAGGTTTTCAGATTATAATCATCTCTGGGTTAAATAAATGAATGATTACTCTGCCTTTTTCAATTAAAGAGGCACATCCTCTCTCAAGCCTGATACTGATTTTGTTTGCTGTCCCACACATTTCTATCAGCAAACCTGGATTTAACCAACACTAATGAATTTGATCTGGAGATTCTATCGGAGCTGGAACAGAAAAGCAAACCAGACTTGAGTTTCAGGAAAACTAAAGAATGTTGGGTTGGGTTTTTTTCCCTAGTGCAACAGAGTTTTTTCTTCATCCTCTGTAGAAAAAGAAGTGTTCTTGTGTGCATTTCCTTAGTTTTCTGGGGACGAACTGTTCTCCTTGCTAACATTGCTCTTTCACTTCTGGTTCACTGCAGAGTCCGAGCAAGTGTTTGGGATTCCCAGCTGAGTGGTTAATGCTCCAGCCAGAATGGTTGAATTCCAGTTTTAGATCAATTCCAGAGCCACCTCTTCACTCCAACCCCTCCTCTCTCCCAACCTAAATGAATTCTAATTGGAAAAGGATCTTCGGTTGTAGCACATATAGTAGGCTTGATACATTACTGTTAACATGTGGGTTTAGGCTACCTGCCTTTGATGAAAGAAAATATTGAATTTCACTGAAATGCTACATTTTCACCAGGAAATGTTAAGTAGTCTTGTGAGGATTTTAAGTACTGCCCCCCTTCTGCAATAGAAAGCCTTTATAAACAATGCAAAGCTAAAAATGTTTAGGTTAAGGTTGTCGGTCAAAGCAGCTCCGCTACCAATTTTGTTACCTATGTGATTTTCTGAAAGATGCAGACTTTTTGTTCTTCTGAAAGTAGTGTATGCATAGGAAATGCAATGCAGAAGGTTTTTACATTTACTAAAGCAGTCATCCTAAAACAACAGCTTTCAGTAACTTGTAGAAAAATGTTTTGCCTTCCAGTATATGAAGCAGAGAATTGCTGTCCTTTCATAGATTAGACTGATTGTTATGTTTTTTGGCAACACAGCTAAGGATGACACAGGAGGGCATACTGGTGTGGCGTCATTAAGACTGTACAGTGGTGCAATATTGCAAATTACCCCACCGTATAGATCCAGCTGACTTATTTTAATCCTGGACTGTATTTTGATGAAAACTGAATCTGAAATGAACAGAGCGTGGTTGATGAAAGTGTGGTCTGTGAGCTGGCAGTCTCTGCTTTATGATAAAGGAGAGTTTTTCATTGTTTTAGGGCCTGAATTGGAAAAGTTGACTCACAGGATTTGAATATCAGTATTTAATACTCCTTTTTTGCACTCGTCGTAGACCTCAGTCAGCAAGGCTGAGGATATCAGGGTGGGCACTGTGCGTGTGTCTGTTACAAAGTCTGTCTCTGGCCTAAAGACGTTGCAGCATGATATCATGACAACATGAACGAAGTTAATGAGACAAATAGGTAGAAGCTCAGGAGTGGGAGGACAAAGTAATGCCTATTTTCATCCCTATATCCTGCTTGAAAATAAATCCTCAAATAATTGCAGACAGGCAGAGGTGGGTGACAGATGGAGAGTGCTGGGGCAGAGGCAGGCGATGGTGTCAGGCCCGCAGGGGGGCTGCGGGCGAGGGACAGCGGGGAGGTAAACACCAACTGGTGTTACCTGCACGCAGGTGCAAGGCACTCAAGGCTCCAGTTGCAGGGAAGGGAAGAGGTTTTGTGGATTATGCGCCAAAAATACAATAACAGAAGGGAATGCCTGGGTTTTTTTGGCTATTTGGGGTGAAGGGTGCTCCTCTTCCTACTCATTATTGAACAGACCTGTTCTTCAGGTATCAATGTAGAATAAAGTTCTAAAGTTGTGAATTTCTACTTTTTAAGAGTGTAAGATTGAGCATGAAGACAGAG